ATGTGAATGTTAGTCTGTTTGATGTTCTCTTATATGGCCCTTATGCTATTGTCACTCTTTTTTTTCTTTTTGATTCTCTGATTAGGTGAGTTCCACTGCCTGTCTTCAGGTTGACTGATCCTTCTGCTGCATCTAGTCTGCTATTGAACCCCTAGAGTTTATTTTTCATTTCCATAATCGTATTTTTCAGCTCTGTGACTTTTATTTGGTACTCTAAGATTTTCCATTTCTTTGTTGAAGTTCTTACTATATTCATCCAAACACTTTTGTGACCTTTACTTTGAACTCTTCATTAGGTAAACTACTTATCTCCATTTCATTAAGGTGTTTTTGGTTTTTTTGTTTGTTTGTTTTGTTGTTAGTTTTTTTTTTTTTTTTATTAATTTTTGTTACAGATGTTTCTCCTTTTGTTTTTGTTTTTAGGTTTTATCTAATTTTTTCATTTGGAACATATTCCGTTTCTTCATTTTATTTGACGCTTTGTGTTGGTTTCTATGCATTAGATGAAATAGCCACGAGTGGCCTCTTGTAGGGATTGAACCTTTTTGTTCAACCTTGCCCCAACTCTTGGTCATTTCTCAAACCTTTGTACTTGCCCAGGCAGTCTGTTATATTTTTAATAGCTCTCAGTAGTTGAAGATGTGCCAAGACTTGTCAATGTCACAAGGAGAAGAATCTAATCACCAAGATCCAGGCTCACTAGAAGCCAGAACTCTTGGGTATAGTCTTTTTCTTTAATCTTCACCTGAGGATACTTTTTTCCATTTTTATCTTCACATAGAGTAAGAGAGAGAGAGAGAGAGACATCGACTGGTCATCTCCCATACTACCCCTACCAGGTCCATGGACTGAACTGCAACTGAGGCATGTGCCCCTGACCAAAATCAAACTCGCAACTCCTTGGTCCATGGGCCAGCACGCCACTGCTAAGTCAAACCAGCCAGGGCTTGGGTACAGTCTTATGGAACCCGTAGGCATAAGCCCCACTGGCCACCAGAGCCAGGCAAGGTAGATATATCTCCTTGAAGCAGTCACAAAAATAAGAGCACCAAACAAGTATATGCCCCATTCTTGATGACACCAGTTATTACAGTCCCATATGACCAAGAACACAAGCTCCCCTGGACTCCAGAGCCAGCCAGAAAAAAGGCATTTCCTGAGCAATAGCTGCAAAAATTGGGACATCAGACACATATAAAGGGTCCCTTCAGGTGCTGCTGGTTCTCTGGAGCATTGCAAAGGGAGAATATCGAGATGGCATCTGCCAGTCTCCCTCCCCGAGAGTATTCCAGCAAGTTCCTAAATGTGTGTGTTAAATGAGCTGCCTGCCCCTTGGGAAGAGGTTTTAATATAAGCAGATGAATCTCCTTCACTTTAAGTCTGGGCATTATCATCTGCCTCTGAGCTGGGCTTGGGAGCAAGTGAGTTTGAGCTCATGAGCCCATTTCTCGGATTACTACAGTGCTGTGGGTCTCAGGATACAAGCCTTGTTGATTTTATTCCTTTTTTTTTTGGTACGTGCCCCTAGCAGAAACCGAACCTGGGACTCTCTGGTCCATAGGCCAATGCTCCAACTGCTGAGCCAAACCAGCCAGGGCAAGCATTGTTGATTTTAAAAATTAAATGTTTTGGGGGCACATCTCTGAAGTGCATGTCTTAAAAGTTGGGGTACCCAGTGTGGGGTTTGAACCCCTTGTTCCGCAGGCAGAAGCTCCACATTTTGAGTTCCCTCTGGATGATGGGTTTCAACAATGGGGGTTAGACAGCCAGTCTTTAGGGGTTTTGTTTGTTTTTAATTTTTTTTTTTATTATTATTTTAGAGAGAAGTGAGAGGGAGAGAGAAAAACATCGATGAGAGAAAACACTGGTTGCCTTCTGCATGACCCCCTCTGGGGATTTGGCCCACAACCTGAGCAATATGCCCTGACCGGGAATCGAACCACTGACCTCTTGGTGCATGGGTCGACGCTCTACCACTGAGCCACACCAGCTGGGCGCCTTTAGGGTTTTTTAGAGGAAATCATTCCCTATATAGCTGTAGACTCTTGTGTCAGTGGAAGGAGGTGAGTTCAAGATCTTCTGATGTCACCATCTTGAATCAGACCAAATTCTCTGTTTTTATTGATCTTGTGTCTGGCTTTTCTATTCATTATTGAAAATAAGGTATTGAGCTGTCTGATTATTATTATAGTGCTACCTGTTTATCTCTTCAGTTTTGTCCATTTTTGCTTCATAGATTTTGGGGCTCTGTTGTTAGGTTCCTATGTATTTATAATAGTCACAGCTTCTTGCTGGATTGAATCTTTTATCAGTATAGTCCCTTCTGATCTTCTTATAATTTTTTTTTTTACTTTAAATCCATTTTGTCTGATAGTAAAACAGATACTAGCTCTTTTTTAGTAACTGTTTGCATGAAATATATTTTTCCATTTTTTTACATTCTGATATCTAAAGTGAGTCTCTCGTAGCCCTAGCTGGGTGGCTCAGTCAGTTGGAGTGTTGTCCCATACACCAAAAAGTAGTGGGTTCGATTCCTTGTCAGGGCACATACCTATATTGCAGGTTCGATCCTCAGTCAGGGCGTCTATGAGGCAAATGATCGATGTTTCTCTCCCCCCACCCCTTCCTCCCTCTCTCCTCCCTCTCCATCTCTTCCTCTCTCTTAAAAATCAATTTTAAAAAATACATATCCTCAAGTGAGGATTAATTAAAGTGAGTCTCTTATAAACAGTATATAGAGGATTTTTTTTTTCTTAATTCATTCTGCTTATCTCTGCATTTTGGGAGAGTTAACTCATTTTCATTTGAAGTATTTACTGATAAGGAAGGAGTTACTTCTGCCAAGTAGCTTTTTGTTTTCTCTGTATCTTGTGTTTTTTATTACTTTGCGATTCCAATTAACATCTTAAACTTATAACAACCTAGACTGAATAATAGCAACTTAGTTTCAATAGTATACAAATACTGTGCTCCCATACATCTCTATCCCTCTCCCTTTATATTGTTATTGTTATAAATTAATTCTTTATACATTGTTTTTATTTACATAAATATACTTTTTTAAAATTTATCTTTATTGTTGAGAGTATTACAGATGTCCTTTTTTGTCCCGTTGTCCCCCTCCTTCCGGTTACCATCCCTCCCCAGGCCTTCACCACACTATTGTCTGTGTCCATGGATTATACATATAAATTCTTTGGTTAATATGTGCCTGCCCCCACCCTGGCTCCCTTCCCTCTGAGAAAAATATAATTATTTTACACATTTGCCTTTAAAATCATATATTTTAAAAGAGAATTACAAATCCAAAACACAATAATGCTGGCTTTTATATTTACCCATGTTGGTACCTTTACCAGTGTTCTTTGTTTCTTCTTACGGCTTCAAGTTACTATCTAGTGTCCTTTCACTTCAATTTAGTATTTCTTTGTAAGACTAGTCAACTAAAAACAAACTCCATTAACCTAATGCTAAATTTCTCCCTCCCAGTGGTCTAGTTGGTGTGTCTCAGTTGGCTGAGCATCATCCTGTATAGTGAAATGGCTCCGGTTTTATTTCCAGTCAGGGTACATGCCCAGGTTGTGAGCTTGGTCCCCAGTCAGGGTATAGTGTTTCTCTCTTAACATCAATGTTTCTTTCTCTCTCTCCATCCCTCTCCTTTCCACTCTAAAAAATCAATGAAAACATATCTTTAAAACAAACTTAAATAGCCCTGGCTGGTTTGGCTGAAGCTGTAGAGTGTCGGCCTGCAGACCAAAGAGTTGCGGGTTCAATGTCAGTCAAGGGCATGTACCTCAGTTGTGGTTTGTCCCTGGCCCTAGTCAGGGTTGTGCAGGAGACAGCCAGTCAATGTGTCTCTCTCACATCAATGTATCTCTCTCTCTCTCTCTTTCTCTCCCTCTCTCTCTCTCCTACTCTATCTGAATATAAATAGAAAAATATCCTTAGGTGAGGATTGAAAAAAAAAGCTTACATAGCTCAGCCAGGTGGCTCAGTCATTGAGCATCAACCCATTCACCAAGAGGTCGCCGGTTTGATTCCTTGTCAAGGCACATGCCCACATTGTGGGCCTGATCCCCAGTTGAGGGTGTGCAGGAGGCGGCTCATTGATGTGTTCTCTCTCTCTCTCTCTCTCTCTCTCTCTCTCTCTCTCTCTCTCTCTCTCCCTCCCTCCCTCCCTCCCTCTCCCCCCCTCTCCCTTCTCTCCCTTACTCTCTCTCTTTCTCTCTCGAATCAATAAAGAAAAAAAAAGCTTATATAGAATATAGACAAAGAAGTACACATAGATTATCATCGAATGGTTTGTCCCCTTTTGATTCATTAAAGCAATAGTCCCATGGGTGCCTCAGAATCATCCTGGGAATGTACTAAAAACAGGCCTTATTACAGGTTTGTCCATTTAAGTTTCCCAAGTGATTCCAATGTTCATTCTGATTTGGGATTCACTTTTTAGAAATTCAGTGTCCCCTTCAGACACTTTATATATTAAATGATTATATAGTAACAAGTGGAAAACAGCAAAAGTTTGAAATGTGATTGCTTAGCTGAATGATTTGTTACTATGCACATCAGCCTCATAGTACATGCAGTTTAAAGTTATGTCACAGAAGAATTATGTATCCTAGCCCTTCTGCATAGCTTGCAAATAGTTAAAATGGCAAGACTCTGCTGTGTGCTCTTTTGCTTGTCATTGCCAGGCATTAATACATGTAAAATCATCTAAATGTTAATTGAATACTTGTAGAATGAGGCTTTATGTTCCTCATGAAATGGTTAGATTTTTTTCATATTAAGCTATGCTTTCATTTTTAATATTTTGGTGATTTAATTTTCATTTGAATTGAATAGTAACAGGATATTTCTATTAATCATAGGATTTTCTTTGTATTTTACTCTTACTATATTCAAGTAACAGAACTTTTCGAGACGCCATTTAATCCATTTAAGCCTAAACATCTTCATTTAGTCTCTAATAGGTGAATAATATGTTTACCATTTAGGTGCCTATGGTTCATGCTTGAAGTTTTAATGACAAAGAATGAAAACAATAGCCATGCCTTTATGAAGAAGATGGCAGAGAACATCAAGTTAACAAAAGATGCACAGTCTCCAGATGAATCCAAGACAAATGAAGTAAGTTAAGTTACCCAATGGGTATTAAGATGTTACAGCAAAAAATATTATGGTCCTTGTCCCACTTGTTTTTTCTGAGTATTACATAATACATTAGGTTATAGAATGTTTGTACAAATATATATTTATAGTCAGTTTTTGTTGCATTTCATTACAGTTGAATTCTATTTGAGGACTGTTTATTACTCTGAAAAAGACATTAAAACTTCTATAGAGCAAGGAGATAAGAACTAATAAACTTTATAACTATACTGTCTTATAAACTTTTAATTAAGAGTTAAAGACAGGTAGATTTTTTTTCATATGTTTTTTGGTTTAGTTTGATTTGGTTTGTTAGCTGTTTTTCATGCATACTTGGCATTCATATTAAAGTAAAGGGTTTTTTTTGTTTTGTTTACCAGGAGGCTGCATAAGAAAAAATGTCAAATATGAATGTGAAATGTTCAAGGAATAAATAATAACATCCTTTCTTTTATTTCATTTTATGCATTGGATAGAATTGGTTCTTGTAATTATTTTGCACTACTGAAAGGTATATATGACCTTTCTTTCTTTTCTCCCTAGAAACTTTATACAGTGTGTGATGTGGCTCTGTGTGTTATAAATAGTAAAAGTGCTTTGTGCAATGCAGATTCACCAAAGGATCCAGTCCTTCCAATGAAATTTTTTACACAACCTGAAAAGGTAATTTTCTTTCCCCTCATTTTCTACCACACAAACTGATTTAAGTTTCAGTTGCCATCAATCCTAGTGACAAATTTTGGATTGTCTTTTTTTTAAAATCTTTATTGTTGAATGTAAAATGTATTACAGATGTTCCACATTTTTCCCCCATTGACTCCCTCCTTCCCATTCCCGCCCCCCTCCCACCTTTTCCCACACTATTGTCTGTGTCCATTGGTTATGCATATAAGTTCTTTGGTTTATTTCTTCCCACCCACCCAACCCCTTTCCCTTTGAGGTTTGTCAGTCTAGCAATGAATTTGTACTTCTTAATCCCTTCACCTTTTTCACCCATTCCCCCAACCCCCTCCCATCTGGCAACCAACAAAATGTTCTCTGTATCTAAGAGAATGTTTCTGTTCTACCTGTTCATTTTGTTTGTAGATTCCATTGTTGATAGATATGTATTCATTGCCATTTTGTTTGTTCATACATTTTATCTTTTTCTTCAAAAAGACCCTTCATCATTTCATATAACGGTTTGGTGGTGATGAACTCCTTTAACTGTTTCTTGTCTGGGAAAGTCTTTATATGGCCATCGATTCTAAATGACAGCTTTGCAGGATAGAGTAATCTTGGTTGTAGGTTCTTGGTTTTCATCACTCTGAATATTTCTTGCCACTCCCTTCTGGCCTGCAAAGTTTCTTTTGAGAAATCAGCTGACAGCCTAATGGGAACTCCCTTGTAGGTAACTAACTGCCTTTCTCTTGCTGCTTTTAAGATTCTCTCTTTGTCTTGAACCTTTTGCATTTTGATGATGATGTGTCTTGGTGTGGGCCTCTTGGGGTTCATTTTGTTTGGGACTCTCTGTGCTTCCTGGACTTGTATGTCTGTTTCCTTCACCAAGTTAGGAAAGTTTTCTGCCATTATTGTTTCAAACAGGTTTTCGATTTCTTGTTCTCTCTCTTCTCCTTCGGGCACCCCCAAGATGCGAATGTTGGCACACTTGAAGTTGTCCCAGAGGCTCCTTACACTATCCTCATTTTTTTGGATTCTTTTTCTTTTTGCTGTTCTGATTGGGCATTTTTTGCTTCCTTATATTCCAAATCGATGGTTTGTTCCTTGGATTTACGGATTTACGTACTCTACTATTGAAGCTGTATAAATTATTCTTTATTTCAGTTAATGCCTCCTTCATTTCTGACTGTGCATCCATGATTTCTGACTGGTCCTTTTTTATGCTCTTGAGGCCCTCACTAAGTTCACTGAGGTTCTCACTAAGTTCATTGAGCATCCTTATAAGCAGTATTTTGAACTCAGTATCTGTTAGGTTGCTTATCTCCATTTCGCTTAGTTCTTTTGTTGGGGTTTTGTTCTGTTCTTTCATTTGGGACCTGTTTCTTTGTCTCCTCATTTTGGCTGCCTCCCTGTGTTTGTTTCAGTGTATTACTTAACGTGAGGTATGGGGCTAACTGAGACCAGATGCTGCTTGTTTGAAAGAATTTAGGAAAAACCTGAAGCAGGATCCAAGACAGGTCAATCCTGTGGTTAAGCAACTGGCAACAGCTTGGGTGGGCCTGAAAGTTGGGTGGGCCTGAAAGTTGGGTGGGCCTGGGCGGGGCCTCAGGGAGTCACCAGGGTGGGGCTACCAGTGTGAGCCAGGTTGCTGGAGTCCCAGATATGGCTTCTGTCTGCTGCCCCAGGGAAGGGCTCACCAAAGGAACAAAGGCCTCTGACAGCACGTTTGTCCCCAAGAAAGCCCCCTCTCCAGCCCTCGCTCCAGTGCCAAACAGCTCAGTTCTTCCCTGTATGTCTCTGGTGCCCCTCGAGCTGCCTCCCCTCCAAGCTTAGAGGGAGAGAGTGTGATAAGTTCGTGGGTGGGCCCTTTAAGGAGCTGCCTGGGGCTCCAGCTGCCTCAGCTTCCCTGAGCCTCAGTTCCCGCTGGTTTTCCAGCCAGAAGTTACGGGAAATCTCTTCCTGGCACTGGAACCCAGAGCGGGGCACCTGGTGTGGACAGGGTCCCCTCAGTCCTCAGGAAGGACCTTCCCAGCCGAGGTATCCTCCTGATTTTTATCCGCCACACGTGGGTGTGGGACCAGCCCGTCATGCTGCCCCACCACCGCTGCCGCCCCTCGCGCCTCCGCCCCTCCTACCAGTCTGGATGTGGCTGCTGCTTTAATTCCATTCAGCTTGATTTCAAGTGGTTTTGAATGATGGTTCTGTAGTTATAACTTTGATGTGGTTGTGGGAAGACACGATACTGCGTTTACCTACGCCGCCATCTTGACTGGAAGTTCGGATTGTCTTAACTATAGAGTTAAAAATGCAGTATTATTCTCACCTTATAGAGTAAGAGAATACAAATCAAGCTTGGTAGCGGTGTTAAGAGAGCTATTCTTTCTGGATATTTCTAGTATGTAATGTTTGATACAGTGTGAATAAACACACACACATATATATGAATGAATGAATGAAATAAAGTTAGAATTTATGGACTTGGCCTTAACAATTGATAGACCTTGATTCTAATCAACCACCTCTAACTTGAGAGACTTTAGTTTCTCTCTTTTTTTTTAATTGATTTTAGAGAGGAAGGGAAGAGAGAGAGATGGAAACGTTGATGAGAGAGAACATCGACTGGCTGCCTCCTGCATGCACCCCACTGGGGATTAGGCCTACAACCTGGGCATGTGCCCTGACTAGGAATTGAACTGGTGACCTCTTGGTGCATGGGACAACGCTCAATCACTGAGCCACACGGTCGGGCTAACTTGAGAGACTTTAGACAAGTTAACTCTTCTGAGCCTCAATTTCTTCATCTCTGAAATGCAGATGACTAATACCTATAAACAGTTACTAGTATGATAACTAGATATATGTTTATCACATAGTAAGCATTTCATAAATTATATTATTAATTAATACATAGTACATTTATTCTGCTATCAGCAAATTAAGTTTTTCATGTAAGTAAGTCTTCCAGCTAACTAAACCTCCTTTAAGTTTTTCTAGCCATTTTTTTTAAATTAGTCATATCAAGGAAAAAGAATATTGAGTAGTGAATTTCTTTTGACTGTTTCCTTTCATAATGATTTAGTATTAACATTGTTTAAAATTTTGTTTTGTTTTGTTTGTTAATCTTTACCCAAGGATATTTTTCCATTGATTTTTTGATAGAATGGGAAAGAGAGAGAGAGGGAGGGAGGGAGGGAAACATCAATTGGTTACCTCCCATATGACCTTGACCAGGGCCAAGGATTGAACCTGCAACCCAGGTACATGTCCTTTACTGGGAATTAAACCTGCTATCCTTCTGTCCTAGGGCCAGTATTCTAACTGCTGAGCCAAACGGGCCAGGGCTTAAAACTTTTTTAAAATTTTTTATTTCCTGCTTTAAGGTGGTATTTTGACATTTGTTTAACTTTCCTGTGCTTTGTTTAAAAATCAGAGTTCTGAATATTTTTCATTGGAAAAAAATGTAGCATTTAAAATATTTCTAGCCCTGGCCAGTTGGTCTCCGCAGTTAGAGCATCAGCCTTCTGACTAAAGGGTCATGGGTTCGATTCCCTGTCAAGGATATGTACCTGGGTTGTTGCAGGTTTGATCCCCAGCCCCAGTCAGGGTCCTACAGGAAGCGATCAATCGATGTGTCTCCCTCACATCTACATTTTCTCTCTTTCTCTCTACCCCTGCCCCCCTTTTCTTCCATGCTATCTAAAAATCAATGGAAAAATATTCTCAGGTTGCCCTGGCCGGTTTTTCTCAGTGGTTAGAGCGTCGATCTGCAGACCAGTGAGTCGCGGTTTTGATTCTTGTCAAGGGTATGTACCCCAGTTGCAGTTCGTCCTCAGCCCTGGTCGGGTCGTGCAGGAGGCAACCAGTCGATGTATCTCTCTTGCCTCGATGTTTCTTTCTGTCTCTCCCTTCTTCCCACTCTATCTAATGATAAATAGAAAAATATCCTCAGGCGAGGATTAACAAAAAAATTTAATTTAATTTTAAAATTATTTAAAAACTTTTTTACACAATTTCAGACCTGAAGATATACTTCAGATTAATATCCGCCCTGCTCCACCTCCACACACAGTATTTTACAGAAGAATGTTCCAAGAAACAGAGCTTCCTACTTTGGAAGGCAGCTATGTTCACCACTATACCAACGCCAACAGAGCTTCCTACTTTGAATGTCATACTTTGACAAGAATTTTTATCAGATTTACATTAATGATTTAGTATTTGGCATTTACTGTGCCTGGTTTTCTTGTTCATTTGTTTTTGTTTTTGGTTAATCCTCACCTGAGGATATTTTTCCATTGATTTTTAGAGAGAGAGGGTGGGAGGAAGGCGGGCAGGCAGACAGAAACATCAGTGGAGACATATTGATTGGTTGCCTCCCATGCACACCCCTACAGGGGCCAGGATCAAACCTGCAGCCCAGATACATGCTCTTGACCAGGAACCGAACCCTCAACCCTCTGATGTGAGGGCTGATACTCAAACTACTGAGACCACTGCCTGGTTTTGGGTTTTTTTTAATCCTCACCCAAGGACATTTTTTGATATTTTGTTCAGATAGAGTAGGGGGGAGGTTCGGAGGGAGGGGGAGAAAGAGAGAGAGAGAGAGAAACATCGATGTGAAAGGGACACATTGAGTGGTTGCCACCCACACGACCCAACCAGGACCAGGGACAAACTGCAACTGAGGTACGTGCCCTTAGCGGGAACCGAACCCAGGTCTCTCTGGACCACAGGCTGACGCTCTAACTGCTGAGCCAAACCGGCCAGGGCGAAAAGTGATTTCTTTAATGGACACATTTAAGCCGTCTGTTCTTTTCTGTAACACTAGTATGAAGGTAGATATAATAAAAGAAAATTTATTTTAAAAACTAATTAACTTCTTGCCCTGGCCGGTTTTGCTCAGTGGTTAGAGCAGAGAGGCCCAGGTTTGGTTCCCACTAAAGGCGCGTACCTCAGTTGCAATTTGTCCCCGGCCCTGGATGGGTCGTGCAGGTGGCAACCACTCAATGTGTCCCTTTCACGTTAATTTTTCTCTCTCTATCTCCCTCCCATTCTCTCTGAACAAAAAATGGAAAAATGTCCTTGGGTGAGGATTAAAAATAAATAAATAAATAAAAACTAATTAACTTCTTGATTGCAGTAAATCATTTTATTTCTGCAACACCATTATGGTTTATTTGTGTGCTATTCCCAGGATATTTAACAGAGAGGCATCAGAGTATCAAATTTGAAGTTTAGGTGTAATTTTCAGGAAAGTATCTTCAGTGTCCCCATTTGGTTTAATTCATTTAGTAACTGGTCAGTGTCCTAGCTGCCAAAGAACATTATAGTTATAATTCACTTAATTATATTTTGGTGGTGTATTTACCTTCTTGATTTGGACAAAATCAGAATATGAAAAAAATGCAAGCTTTTCATTTTAAATGTGATTTAAGTAATTTATCTCTGACATTTTCCTAAGTCTTAATGTGCCACTGCTTTAATTTTAAAGCTAGACTTATGGTATGGTTCATTAAATATGCTCTGCTTATTTTATTAATTGATATGTAAGCACAAATGTAGTAAAAAATACACATATTCACTCTGATTTTTCTTTTTTTGATAGGACTTCTGTAATGACAAGAGTTATATTTCAGAAGAGACCAGAGTACTTCTCTTAACAGGAAAGGTATTATGTACTAGATAATTTGGGGACCTTTATTTCATGTGTATATTACTTCTGATATTCTTAGAAATAACCATTAACCAATAACCAGATTTTATAGTTTCTGATTCTTAGGGATCTTGTTGTGGATTGTAGCATCTAAAGCATTTGTTCTCTCGAAATTTTTTTGCCATGAGCTACTCTTTAGAATTATGATCATGTGTTCTTATCAGTCCTGATTCTAAAGTTGTTTAGAATCCACAAAACAGATTTTCTTGAAAAGTAGGATAATAAATTTAGATGTATAAGATAAAGAGAAATAATTTTAAAGTATCAATGGGTTAGACAATTTATATTCTTTTTTTTTTTATCCTCACTCGAGGACATTTTTTCATTTTTTGTTCAGATAGAGTGGGAGGGAGAGAGAGAGAGAAACATCGACGTGAAAGGGACGCATCAAGTGGCTGCCACCCGCACGACCAACCAGGGCCAGGACAAACTGCAACCGAGGTACATGCCCTTAGCAGGAACGAAACCCGGGTTTCTGTGGACCGCAGGCCGACGCTCTAACCGCTGAGCCAAACTGGCCAGGATGACAATTTATATTCTATAAAAATAATATGAGACCTAAAAGAGCAAAAGTAAACTTAATTATTTATTAACACCATGTGAACTATTACTGTATACACTCAGTAGTTTATTGTAATACATTTATTATGTCTTATTATATTCACTGTGTTTAGGGGCCCTTTTATTTTGATTGAGCAATACGAAATAAATATTGCCTAGTTATTACAATGTAGAGGTATTTTATGACTTACAATTATTGTATTCAGATAAATACAGTTTTATAGAATTATCATTTCTAACAAATTTAGAATTAACTTTCTAAAATAGTAATTCCTTGGCTTAAGCTAAACAATATCTCTTCCATGTGCCTAAATATATATGTATTTTTTTATTACAGTATAAAATAACATACGTATGTTTAATTTTTAGCCAAAACCTGCTGGAGTACTAGGTGCAGTAAACAAGCCTTTATCGGCAACAGGAAGGAAACCATATGTTAGAAGCACTGGAGCTGAGACTGGAAGCAATATTAATGTAAATTCAGAACTAAACCCTTCAACCGGAAATCGGTCGAGGTAATTTTATTTTCCAGTTGTTACTATCACTCACAATTTGGTTCATCTTTTTAATTTTTTCCTAAAGCACTGTATCCCAAAAATAGACTTTAAGAAATAATTTGGGCCCTGGCCGGTTTGGCTCAGCGGTTAGAGCATCGGCCTGCAGTCCAGAGAAACCCGGGTTCAGTTCCTGCTGAGGGCAAGTACCTCAGTTGCAGTTTGTCCCTGGCCCTGGTTGGCCGTGCGGGTGGCAGCCACTCGATGTGTCCATTTCATGTCGATGTTTCTCTCTCTCTCTCTCTTCCTCTCGCTCCCACTCTATCTGAACAAAAAAAACAAAAAAATGTCCTCGGGCGAGGATTAAAAAAAAAAGAGAGAGAGATATTTTGGTACAAAGCAATAGCGCTAAATTAGCACTAATGATATAAATTGAGAGTAGACTACAGCATTCTAAGTGTGTAGAAAAGTTAAATGGAAAAAAAACCCAATGATTTATAATATATCTAATTTACATGGAAATGTTTTCTATATAGATTTATGTAAGAAAATTTAATACTGCCCTGGCCAGTTTTGCTCAGCAGTTAGAGCATTCGCCTGTAGACCAGAGTCCCAGGTTCAATTCTGGCCAAGGGTACGTGACTCGGTTGCGGTTCATCCCCAGCCCTGGTTGGGGTCATGCGGGTGGCAGCCAGTCGATGTGTCTCTCTCAATTCGATGTTTCTCCCTCTCTTCCTCCCTCTCTTCCCTCCTGCTCTATCTGGGAAAAAAAAAAAAGGAAAAAATAAATTTTAAAAAGGTAAATAAATAAATTCAATTTATAGGCATGAGTTGAGTAAAAAATAACCTTTTCACTTATAAAAGTATTTCATTTATTTTAACATGTCAAACATTTGCTTTTGTAGCTACTGCATAAGAATTTCTACCTGACCCTACTCTTACCGACACTAAATATTATGGCTTTTAAAGATTTTATTCTTTTTTTTTTTTTTTTAATCCTCACCTGAGGATATTTTTCCATTTTTTGTACAGATAGAGTGGGAGGGAGAGAGAGGAAGGGAGAGAGAGAGAGAAACATCGACGTGAAGGGACACATCGAGTGGCTGCCACCCGCACGACCAACCAGGGCCGGGGACAAACTGCAACCAAAGTACGTGCCCTTAGCGAGAACCGATCCCGGGTCTCTCCGGACCGCAGGCCGACGCTCTAACCGCTGAGCCAAACCGGCCAGGGCAAAGATTTTATTCTTACTCATGAAATTTTAAGAGTAAACTCAGCCCAGCTGGTGTGGCTCAGTGGATTGAGCGTCACCCCATAGACTGAGCAGTTCCAGTTCAATTACTGGTCAGGGCACATGCCTGGGGTTGCAGTCTCCATCGCTGATGGGGGGGTGTGCAGGAGGCAGCCGATGGATGTTTCTCTCTCATATTGATGTTTCTATCTCTCCCCTCCTCTCTCTCTAAAAAAAATCAATAAAAACATTTTTTTTTTTTTAAAAGTAACCAATCTGTGGTGTGTTTTTGTGGGGTTTTTTTTTGCCCGAGGATATTTTTTCTACTTATCAGATAGAGTGGGAGGGAGGGAGAGAGAGAGAGAGAGAGAGAGAGGAACATTGATGTGATAGAGACACATGACTGGCTGCCTTCCTCATGACCCAACCAGGGCCGGGGATAACTGCAACTGAGGCACAAGCCCTTGACCGGAATTGAACCCATGACCTACTGGTCTGGGCACCGATGCTCTAACTGTTGAGCCAAACTGGCCAGGGCTCAACCCGTGGTGTTTGAAACAAATTTTTAACAGTAGAACCCCAAAATATAGAATAAATTAATGTGAAATTTGTGGTTTACAGTGATGGTGGGGCTCAGTCACTTCCCTTGTGGCCTCTTGCAGCCCCCACATTGGCCGAGCATTAAGAACACAGACTGGAGATGACTATTCTATAATCTGTCACTATATTTTTATTTTGTTTTAGGGTTTTTCATCCCCAAGAGATAGGCTTAGAATAGCTGTGTTATTTTGTTTCTTGACAACTAATCTTTCTCTCATGTGGTTTTAGGTAGCCATTTCTGTCTTATATTAATTAGTAAGGTTAAATGGAAATTAATAATATGATATGATAGACCAGTGGGTGTATAACCACAAATCTGAATCTTGCTAAGATTGCTTTTTCTAAACCAGCCTGAGCCTCAGTTTCTCTGTGGGTATAGAGAGAGAGTAAACTTGATACATGTGGTGACATAAAGCAGCTTTGGTTTATTTTTCTTCAACAGGGAACAGAGTTCAGAGGCAGCAGAAACTGGAGTTAGTGAAAATGAAGAAAACCCTGTGAGAATTATTTCTGTCACACCTGTAAAGAATATTGACCCAGTAAAGAATAAGGTAAACCTTAAACTTTAACAAGTAGATTACTCCCATGAAGATTTGTATTACAGATTTCAAGGTAGGAGTAAGAGATCCACAGTTAAGAGGTTGATTTATATTATGTATTATACATGTGTGTATACACCACCTCTTGCTATATTTAGTATGCTTCCACTCTCCAAAAATGACTCTGCCCATATCTACTGACTTCATTTGACAAGAGTTTATTTGGTCACCCATAATGATAATGGTATCCCTCTCCCACACTACTCCCAACACCTTGAAAGAATAGGATTTGAGGTTTTTGTTTTTTTTTTCTTCAAATCTTTATTTTTGGATGTAAAATGTATTACAGATGTTCCACATTTTTCCCCCATTGACTCCCTCCTCCCCACTCCCGCCCCCCTCCCACCTTTTCCCACACTATTGTCTGTGTCCATTGGTTATGCATATAAGTTCTTTGGTTTATTTCTTCCCACCCACCCACCCACCCCCAACCCCTTTCCCTTTGAGGTTTGTCAGTCTAGCAATGAATTTGTGCTTCTTAATCCCTTCACCTTTTTCACCCATTCCCCCAACCCCCTTCCCAACTGGCAACCAACAAAATGTTCTCTGTATCTATGAGAATGTTTCTGTTCTTCCTGTTCATTTTGTTTGTAGATTCCATTGTTGATAGATATGTATTCATTGCCATTTTGTTTGTTCATACATTTTATCTTTTTCTTCAAAAAGACCCTTCATCATTTCATATAATAACAGTTTGGTAGTGATGAACTCCTTTAACTTTTTCTTGTCTGGGAAAGTTTTTATATGTCCATCAATTCTAAATGACAGCTTTGCAGGATAGAGTAATTTTGGTTGTAGGTTCTTGGTTTTCATCACTCTGAATATTTCTTGCCACTCCCTTCTGGCCTGCAAAGTTTCTTTTGAGAAATCAGCTGACAGCCTAATGGGAACTCCCTTGTAGGTAACTAGCTGCGTTTCTCTTGCTGCTTTTAATATTCTCTCTTTGTCTTGAACCTTTTGCATTTTGATGATGATGTGTCTTGGTGTGTGCCTCTTGGGGTTCATCTTGTTTGGGACTCTCTGTGCTTCCTGGACTTGTATGTCTGTTTCCTTCACCAAGTTAGGAAAATTTTCTGCCATTATTGTTTCAAACAGGTTTTCAATTTCTTGTTCTCTCTCTTCTCCTTCGGGCACCCCCAAGATGCGAATGTTGGCACGCTTGAAGTTGTCCCAGAGGCTCCTTACACTATCCTCATTTTTTTGGATTCTTTTTTCTTTTTGCTGTTCTGATTGGGCATTTTTTGCTTCCTTATATTCCAAATCGATGGTTTGCTTCTTGGATTTACATACTCTATTATTGAAGCTGTGTAAATTATTCTTTATTTCAGTTTATGCCTCCTTCAATTCTAACTGTGTATCCATGATTTCTGACTGGTCCTTTTTTATGCTCTTGAGGCCCTCCCTAAGTTCACTGAGGTTCTCACTAAGTTCATTGAGCATCCTTATAAGCAGTATTTTGAACTCGGCATCTGTTAGGTTGCTTATTTTCCTTTCGCTTAGTTCTTTTATTGGGGTTTTGTTCTGTTCTTTCATTTGGGACCTGTTTCTTTGTATCCTCATTTTGGCTGCCTCCCTGTTTTTGTTTCAGTGTATTACTTAATGAGAGGTATGGGGCTCGCTGAGACCCGATACTGCTCGTTTGAAAGAATTTAGGAAAAACCTGAAGCAGGATCCAAGATCGGTCTTTCCTATGGTTAAGCAAGTGGCAACAGTTTGGGTGGGCTTGAAAGTTGTGTGGGGCGGGGCGGGGCTTCAGGGAGTCAGCAGGGCGGGGCTACCAGTGTGAGCCAGGTTGCTGGAGTCCCAGATATGGAGACTGTCTGCCGCCCCCAGGAAGGGCTCACTAAAGGAACAAAGGCCTCTGACAGCACGTTTGTCCCCGAGGAAGCCCCCTCTCCAGCCCTCGCTCCAGTGCCAAACAGCTCAGTTCTTCCCTGTGTGTCTCTGGCGCCCCTCGAGCTGCCTCCCCTCTGAGCTCAGAGGGAGAGAGTCCGATAAGTCTGTGCGCCGGCCCTTTAGGGAGCTGCCTGGGGCTCCAGCCAGGTCAGCTTCCCTGAGCCTCAGTTTCCGCTGGTTTTTCCAGCCAGAAGTTATGGGGACTTCTCTTCCTGGCACTGGAACCCTGAACGGGGCACCTGGTGTGGGACGGGGACCCCTCAGTCCTCAGGAAGGACCTTCCCAGCCGCAGGAGCCTCCTGATTTTTATCCGCCACACTTGGGTGTGGGACAGCCCGTCGTGCCTCCACCACCGCCCCTCCCGCCACCGCCCCTCCTACCAGTCTGGATGTGGCTGCTTTAATTCCGTAGTTGTAGGACTTCCGTTCAGCTTGATTTCAGGCGGTTTTGAATGATGGTTGTTCTGTACTTTAGTTGTAACTTTGATGTGGTTGTGGGAGGACGCGATACTGCGTTTACCTACTCTGCCATCTTGACCGGAAGTCCAAGAATACATTTTAGATTGGTCCCTCATTCAAACTCTTGCTGTTTGCTGTATGACATTCACTATGTCAGTAGATATAGCTAACAAGGATTCTCTCACTGTTGAAACTCTTGGAGCCCTGGCCCATGTGGCTTAGTGGGTTGAGAGTAATCCCATGCACCAAAAGGTGGCTGGTTCAATTCCTGGTTGACATGCATACAGAAGGCAACCATTCAGTGTTTCTCTTTCTCTCTCTCTCTCCCCTTCCCGTCTCTAAAATCAATAAGAACATTTTTTAAAAAAACTTTTGGAACTCAGAAACCAATAGATTAGAATATTGTTGGATCCTTGTATAAAATTAAACAGTCTTTGATGTGAACAAATTTAGATGCAAAATTGCATGTTGTCATAGTCATTCAGTGAAACATACTTATACATATTAAGAGGTGGTGTAGATACAAGTATTTATCTGTCAAACAGCTATCCACAATGTTTCCAGCCTCTTCTTTAACATTATATATAAGATAAATTGGACATTAAATTCTAATTTCTGAGAGATTAAAATGTTGATCTATAATATTTAATTGTTCCAACCCATTATTTTAACTCTTTTACACTACCAAAGAGTGTTTTAACAAGTTCACTGTAGCCTGAGGAGACAGGTTGGTTGCCTTTTGACTAAAGCCTGATGGTCTCTTTGTCAGGTCTCCCATAAGTTATATGATCATTTCTTTTTAGGGTCTGGTCCTCAGTCTTATAGGCTCAAAATGCTACCTCGTTAGTAAACTAAAAGAAGATAAAGATCTAAGGTAGTGTTTCTTGCTAGCCAGTTTCTCAAAGAGATTGATGCATAAACCAGTTTTTTAGTTATGTATATGAAAATTATTCAGTAAACTGAATATGTGTGGTTACAAATCAGGACATTCTCTATTATTTTCTCTATGAGGGAAATCATATTGTATAAATATGAAGGTTGAATAAGGGAGATGGTTAAAAAAAGAACCAAGACACATCTGTGGATTCAGGCGAGCAGTACTGCCAGTGTCATCCGTTAGGAATCTTGTTTTTCATCGTACCTATAGCCAACCAACTGATTGCCTTTTCATTTGGCTTTTCCATGAGTTCTTTATACATGTGCACATAATGTTCATAAATATATAAATATAATCATGTGTGTGATTTTTAATGCAGCCTTTTTTCCCTTTTAAATAGCCTTATCTGTGTGTGTTCATTTTTTCTTCCTTCACAGTCTTATTTTCACTTATTTTATGTGTGTATACACATAAATATTTTCTTCCCCCATTTTACCACTTCAGTGTGGCATTAAATATTTACTTGTGGTTTTATTCCTATCAGCTAGGTTCCTAGGAGTGGGGTTGCTGGGTCAAAAGGTAAATATTACAGATTTTAGATATTTTCATATTGCTTTTATGAAAAATTGGGACACTTAGGTCATTTCAAAGAGCTTATGGAACCAAAGGAGCCTAACTCTGTGACCTAAGAGTGAAGTTCTCCATAGGATAATAGACATTCCATAGTGCTATGTTTTTCTGTGGAGATAAAAGATAAGAAAAGAAAATTTAGAACACTTAACATTTCTACCAGCAAGGTATGTGAGTACTTTTTTCCTCTACATATCTACCAACAACAGGTTTTGCAGCTCTTCTGAATTTTTTCAGTCTCACGTATCAAAACTACTGTTGTTTGAATTTGTATTTCTCTCACTACCAATATTATTGTTGACCACTTGGGTGTATTCTTCTGTGAATTGCCTATTTATATTGGCTCATTTTTAAATTATCTTTTTCTTGATTAAATTTCTGATGCTGCAGTAATTTTACCTTCTTGTTGACATTCTTGCTTTCTTCCAATCCAGTCACCATGTAGCAGCCAATTTGATCTTTTAAAAATGTAATTTGGCCCTGGCCACATGGTTCAGTTGGTTGAGCATCATCCCATGCACCAAAGGGTTGTGGGTTGGATTTCCGGATAGGAAATGTTTCTCTCCACCCCCCAAACATATCCTCGGGTGAGGGTTTTTTTTTTTTTAATATTACTTGGATTATGTTTGTTTTCCATTTAAAATTTTCAATGACTTTCATTGGCACTTTAAAAAATCAGTTTCTTAACATGTCCTTATAAGGCATTTATGACCTGACCCACGTCTGCTTCTCTTATCTTATACCACTCTCCCATGACTTCATATGGTTCCAGGTTCTTTTTTTCCCCTCACCCGAGAACACTTGCATTCATCTTCAGATAGAGTGAGAGAGAAAGGGAGGAAAAGAGAGAGAAACATCAATGTGAAAGAGACACATCAACTGGCTGCCACCCATATGACCCCAACTAGGGCTGGGGACAAACTGCAACTGAGGTACATGCCCTTAGTGGGACCCAAACCCGGGTGTCTCTGGACCACGGGCCAATGCTCTAACCGCTAAGCCAAACCGACCAGGGCTGGTTCAAGATTATTTTTTTAAAAATCCTCACTCGAGGACATTTTTCGATTTTTTTGCTCAGATAGAAGGGAGAG